TTTGACGTGCAGTATTAAGCTTATATAATTAGACATAGAAGCTAGTGAGGGATGGTGTGAGAGACATGGTCGAGTTAAGAGAGAGAAGGGAGAGTTTTAAAATTTATTTTTATATTTCTTTTTATTATAATACTTCATATTGAGGAAGAAGGGGGTAAGGATCAGACATTGACCTATTTAATCGGTCAAGTCAATGGAAATGATATGGGAAAAAGAAAAAGGAGAAAAAAGGGAAAAATAAAAAAAAGTGGGGAAGTAATGTAAGTAGGGTTTTTGGAGGAAGGATATATATATATATATATATATATATATATATATATATATATATATATATAATGTCATTAGGAATGAAGTTAGGTTGTGTGATTTCGATCATAGAGCGACTGAAGGTACCGGCAAAAAGATTTGTTTTCTCATCTGCATTCGGAGATTATTTCCGATTATTGTTGTAGGAGTTTATCATCTGGAAAGATTATTATCTTTTTTTTAATTCCTCAACTCAAAGATTACATCGTTTTCATGTCCTGCTCTAAGCTTGTGCTCCTTCCTTATCGTCCATCTTATTTTTAGTAAAGTCTAAATTCTATTGCCATATATGTTTTCATATGGAAGTACTGTTATTTTTCGTTGTTGATCAATCCTTTGTGTGCGTATCTGTTCTATTTTCAGGGACAACATCTTATTCTTATATACTTTCTCTGGGCTTACGTTGAGGCTTACTAATGCTTCATATAGCACAAATATAATCGGGACATGGAATGATAGAACACAGTACAAACTGGAAATGGCAAAGGCTAATTATCAACATTCCTGAAAGCTCCAAAGATAGTTAATCGATAGGGACTTCACAAGCTTTACAGCTTACAAGGAACCAATAAAGAGATAGCTGAAATCTATTGGATATATAATGAAGAAAGAAGGCATAGAGTGTATAATACGCACAGGATAGAATGAATGCATCGGAAGCAGTGAAAACAATGAGGACTTATTAAACTGGATAGGTAGAAAATTGTCAAAGAGGAATGGTAACGGGTCAAAATTTACTTCAGTCAGTTATGTGCCATGGGGATACACGCTTAGGCGATCATGTATCTTTGGATACATGACTGACGAGGCAGATTTTTTCCCGCAGTAGATTGCCATTTTTTTCTGCGGGAGATAGTTGCCATCTAAAGCTTTTCAAAAGATGTAGACTTATTGTTCACCTACACTTTGAAAAGTGCGTAACATAGAAAATAAAACTTTTTAATTCTTTTAACATTTAGTTAAAAGAGTTAAAATGTTATCTTTCTTTCTACCTTTCGCCTCTCTCTCTCTCTCTCTCTCTCTCTATCTATCTATCTCTCTCTCTCATATATATTATATGCACAAAGTGGCTGCCAAAAAGTTTTGGGAACTGGAAGAGCCAGCATAAGTTGAATGTCGTACAGGAATTTACGCTTACCTTTTATGAGCAGTATATTTTGCGCGTCATTGAGTAAACAGCATTCAGAAGATGATAAAACAAGACATTAAGATAAGTTGTTTTTTCAAGTGCCTTCTTCGTAATATATATATATATATATATATATATATATATGTGTGTGTGTGTGTGTGTGTGTTAGCACAATCTTTCCTGTCTAATGGCTGCACTATTCTTCGAATCGAAGCCGCCGTTATTCTGATAACCAACCAAAAACTATGACTGCACTGACAACTCAAATGGAAAGCAACGCTGACCTATTTACACCATCGCCAAGCAAAACGTATATTTCCACCTTTTCAACAATGTAGTTCTCAGCCCGGCATTGTTTATTTTACGCGCGCTGAACTCGATGTCTTGTTAATTCATCTTGGTAAAAGCATTGGAATGACATGGAGCATATCGCAGTTGAAGGTTATTCCAAAGAATGCTTTTATGAAAATGCAAGCCTGATATATAAACTTTCCATATCAACCACATTGGAAAGAATAAATGGTTCAGTGCGTACGCATTTGAGAAATGGTTTTAAGACCCCCGTTTACTCGTATTTTGGTCTTGTATGATTTCTAAGTGCAATCTACCGAATATATGAGAATAAAAGCAAGAAATGTTTCTTACTTTATATGTCATTCAGATGAAACACACGTTTTAGAATTTTTACTTTAGAAGGAATTTAATTTTTCTTCAAGGCTGGCCGATCTGTTTAAATCCCAACTAAGTGTGTGTATTTTGCGCGGATGACGTGAATGATGAATCTGAATAAAGTCATTTCTTGCCGTTGGTACCTTGTGCCCAAATACAGGATGTCGTGTAAGAGATGTACATTAATAACGACATTAATAACTCGGTTACTCGGAAAAATGCCAACAAGGGGCCCCAATGATTTATAAAGATCCTGGGATATTTCATGTGATATGTAGTTTAATTTGCTCATTATGATTCAGGTTTGTGTAACATTCTTAAAAGCAGGGGTCTGTGGGTATGACTCACTTTTAGAGAATTTTGTTGTTCGAATAAACCATCTCCCTCCCTTTCTCTTCACACAGACATACACAAACGTGAGCGCGTACACAAACCCATGAAGAGAGACAGACTGACTGACAGATAGATAGATAGATAGATAGATAGATAGATAGATAGATAGATAGATAGATATGAACAGGCTGAGATAGATATAAACAGGTGTGAGATAGATAGATAGATAGATAGATAGATAGATAGATAGATAGATAGATATGAACAGGCTGAGATAGATATAAACAGGTGTGAGATAGATAGATAGATAGATAGATAGATAGATAGATAGATAGATAGATATGAACAGGCTGAGATAGATAGATAGATCGATAGATATGCACAGGCTGAGATAGATAGATAGATAGATAGATATGAGCAAGGTGAGATAAATAGATATGAATAGGTTGAGATAGATAGATAGATAGATAGATAGATAGATAGATAGATAGATAGATATGCACAGGCTGATATATATATAATATATATATATATATATATATATATATATATATAGATAGATAGATAGATAGATAGATAGATAGATAGACAGATAGATAGCAGGCTGAGATAAATAGATAAGCACAGGCTGATAGATAGATAGATCGATAGATAATAGGTTGAGATAGATAGATAGATAGATAGATAGATAGATAGATAGATAGATAGATAGATATATATGAACAGGCTGAGATAGATATGAAATTTAAATGGTGTGTTATTGATGTGAGTCAACTGAGATAGATAGAATAGGCTGATAGATAGATAGATAGATAGATAGATAGATAGATAGATAGATAGATGTGAACGAACTGAGACGTTGAGATGGTTATGTTGGGAAAGATAACTGTACAGGTGGCGATGAAATGAATGAGATAGCATGATAATGATTGATCGACTGATTTGCTTGTTTAACAGCACATCAACATCCTAGTGGGTCATTTAAGCCAACATTTATTTTTCTTGAGAAATTTGAAGTCATAAAAATATATGTTATTCTGCTTTCACAATTGAATACATGGTAGATGATACTCAGCTTTTGTGCATATAAATGTTTATGTGGACATTCTTACTAGAGTTGGTGATATGTGTTTTTTTATGTTGTAGTTTTGTTGAAGTTATATTTTGGAAATTGTAGGATATTAAATGGACTAACATCATGAAAGAGTTCTTTCATGTTGTTTGTTTGGTTTGTTGATTTTGTTTAGCGGCATATCAACACCTGTATGGGTTATTTAATACCGAAATCTAAAGATTTTTTTAAGCAACTACAGATATTTGGTACATAATTTTATACTTCCAGTCGGATATATTTTACCATCATACCAGGACGAGCGTGATAATATATTTTCCCAAATAAAATTTGCCTATCGCTTATTAATTTTTGAAAGTAAAATTTCAATGTCATGTCGTAAGAGTAAAGCGAATAAGCAGCCAAATCTGCTCTCATTTACCCATCATAGAGAACCTTCTCTGCCTCACATCAGGATGGCTGATGCCCAACTCTACAAGAGCGCCTCTCTGCGCCTGCTTGGTTCTCACTCTGTTCACTGACCTGAAGTGGAACAACTGCATTGAATGTATAGCTTCATCTTGCGCAAAAAAGTTGGTTCTCTGTGTTGCGCCAGAAGGTTTTTCTCGTCTGAGTCCATCCTTCAAATCTAAAAATCAGCCATTCCTCCTTGCATGGAATACTGCTGCCATATATGGTCTGGTGCTCCCGCTGTTGGTCCCGAGGTCCTCGACAATATCCAGAGACGTATATGCAACATGATTGGTCTTGATCTGGTATCCGGTCTACAGTCACTATCTCACAGACGTGGCTTCCCTCTGTCTTTTCTACAAGTACTTTCATAACAGCTGCTCTTACGAGCTACTTCCACTGGTTTCCAAACTGCATGAATTTAAGCGTGCTAAAAGACTGGTATCTCAGTCCCACACTTTCACTGTCGAAACGGCTAAATGCAGCCATCTCTTCTATTCCAACAGCTTCTTATCTCACACCTCCTGTCACTTTCGTATCACTTACTTCCCTGATAGCTGCAATCTTCAAATATTTAAATATAATGCCAATGGACATCTTCTGATGCCTTGACTCTGATTGCTGTTCTTCTTTTTATCTTTTTCCTCCAAACACTCCTCTTTATTCTTACTCTCTCTGCGTGCTAGAGGTACTCCTACCTTGCTTGGGGTCATTTGCTTATTTGAAATCGAGGAGGGGTGGAGATTTAATCAAATTTTAATGGAAAAGCAATTTGCGAACAAAACGAAGAAGAAAAAGAAGCCGAGTGCAATAAAACGAAAATACGTGTTAGCTTTTTATTACTTTTTATTACTTTTTTTAAAAGCCATTCACCCGAACCAAGGCGGGAGTGCCATGAAAATATTTGTAGAGAATAGACAAAGGGAAGCAAACGGTACGTCTGTGAGAAAGTGACTGTAGACGAGATGCCAGATCAGGACCTATCACATTGCACACCCATCTCTGGATTGTGTTGAGGACCTTGAGATGAACAGCAGGGGCACTAGACCTTATGTTACAACAGTATTCAATGCAATGATGAATGGCTGATTTGTACATTTGAAGGATGTTTTGCGACATAAGGATTTTTTAAGGAGTTAAAGGAATTAAAATAAAACTAATACAATAGAATATTTTTTAGTATCAATATCCGGAACATTTGCGTGTGTACAAAACTAAAACCAATAGAATTCTCAATAAGAAATTCAAATTGATAAGGGATGAAAGAAAGAAAATGACTTCTTAGGATTTAATGGCAGTTTTATGGTTTCAAGTGAGCGGATAGATTACTAATTCTTGATACAACAGAAGATTTCAAGACCATTTACGTAGCATGCACGACAGATACCGGTTATTAGATTACTGAAATGGATGTAGAATAAAAAATACGGTATTGTTTTGTATTTAACTAAGGGTTTGTTGCCAGTAAGTTAGGGAAAAATTCCAATCTTTTTTTTATTTTTTTAAACCGTATTACAACGATAGACCTATTAATAAACACACCCACCATAAATAGATAAATGTATTTTGGTAATTTGCAGGTTGATGCTAGAAAATCCTATTACATAAAAATCCCTACAGACTCAACATCATACTTAATTATTTTCAGCTCAAAAAATTTACCTTCAAACCTTTCTTGCGCATTACTGCTTTCTTTCTTTCTTTCTTTCTTTCTTCATCTATCTATCTATCTATCTATCTATCTATCTATCTATCTATCTATATATATATATATATATATATATATATATATATATATACTGATCTGCACACACGATTTTGTAATTTTGTGTGAGTGAAAGATCAAAGTATAAAGATTTATATGAAAAGCTTCATCAGAAGAAATACTTTTAGTAAATGAAACCTTAGAATGTTTCTTATTAATGTAGCAGCCATTTTAATTAAATAACGTTTCGTTTTTTTTTTATTACGAACTGTTTCGCCTCTACTAAACATTTTTCATATTCTGTTTCTTAGAGAAGTTTTAGTAGAAATTTCTATCTATTTGCTACTGCAGATCTGAAAAAGGTTTCAGTTTCTATTATAAAAGTGAACAAGCGTTTGCCTTTCTCGTTCTGATTCGTTGAACTTTCGCTCCACCCTTGGCTTATAGGGATACAAAAGTTGTTGGTACTTTTTGTCAAGAAACTCATTTAAATTTCTTTTTTTTCCTCCCGTTTTATGATAATGTTTAATCATTCTTTAAATATTTTTCCTTGTTTGTTTCTTTGAGTTTATATTTTTTCTTCCTCTCTCTCGCTCTATCTATCTATCTATCTATCTATCTATCTATCTATCTCTTCAGTGCATGTTTCAAATTTTCCTCTTTTCTATCTTCGCCTTCCCTGTCTTTCCTTTTCACCTCTTCCTTCTTTTCCTTCGTTTGTTCCGTTCTTCTTTTTCTTCTTCAGTGCATTCTGAAAAATAACGCGTACGCACACACACACACACACACACACACACACATATATATATATATATATATATATATATATATATATATGTATCTACATATCCATACATTTAAAAGTAATTTGGTTGCTATAGAATCCATTATATATATATATATATATATATATACAAGTATAGGATTAGTGTATACGGAATAAATTCCAATAACCAACAATTACTAATCTTAAAAGAGTGCTCAATACAAAGTAGAGCAAATATAATTATTTATTGAAAAATTATAACATAAATATGTTATAAAATCACTACATCACTTGATAAGACACCAGAGGTGTTGAAACAAAATGGCTATTTTTTAGTGACTTTATAACATATTTATGTTATAATTTTTAAAAATAATTATATATATATATATATATATATATATATATATATATATATATATATATATATATATATATATAAGAGATTATAATTGTTCCAAGGGAGAAAAAGTGTATATTTTAAAAAGAAGAGAGAAACCGTCAACGTTTTTTTGGTTATAATGTGGATTTTTAAAAATAAATATTATACATTAATTTCCATATTTTTGGTACAGTCATGTGAGCTTCAACAGGCAAAGATTGGATATTTCCACATATTATTAAAAGGAATTAATTTTCCTTATGTTTTTCGATGTTTAAACATTGTCTTTTGTGTAGTAGTAACTGAAAAGTCCAAGAAGAAACATTTGGGTTACTACTACACAAAAATGACAATGGTTAACCATCGAAAAACATAAGGAAAATTAATTCCTTTAATATGTAGAAATAACCATTCATTACCTAATGAACTTCGTGAGACCGGAAACAAGTGTAGCAAAATTATGGAAAATAAAGTATAATATATATTTTTAAACAAAAACACATTATAAACAAAAAACATTTGCGGTTTCTCTCTTCTTTTTAAAATATACATTTTTCTATCGTTGGAACAACTATGACCTCTTCCTCATGTATATATATATATATATATATATATATATATATATATATATATATATATATATATAGATAGATAGATAGATAGATAGAGAGGGATATAGATAGATAGATTATAAAGTATCGCACATATAGTGCTCAATGTAACATAACAGAGCTATTAAGTATATATTAATAAATATTAATATACACTGCGTGCCAAATTATTATCGAGATAACTTTTTTCTAATATTTCAAAAACCGTATAATCAATTCACACAAAATTTTCACACAATGTTGGCAATACTGACCTGCGCAATCACTGAAATTTTCGTACTGATCTACGCGATGCAAACAAACTTGCGCCATATTTGTTATCAGCACGGTGATTTGAGCGTGCCAAATTATTAGAAAGATTTAGTAAAATTCCCAGAATTGAACAAACAAAACGTTTATTAATGTTGCACGTGAATGTTTATGATAAAAAGAAGCTAATAAATAAGATGATCAAACAAATAATAACAGATACAAACAAAGGCACAGTTTTAAACAAATTAATAGGGAATGTGCTTTCCCTGTTTTGAAATTACTTGAATAAGTCGACGATCCATAGAATTTGTTAATTGTAGGATGTCATCTGCTGTAATGCCGCGTGATATGTCAAGAATTGCTTCACACAACTCAGCGTTGCTCCTGAATTGTCGTCCGTTGGCGTATAGTCTTCGCATCATGATGCTCCAAAGGTTTTCGATTGGGTTCAAAAACGGAGAATTTGCTGGCCACTTCATTTTTCGAGGTCCATCGAAGCCTACCTGTTTCAAATATTCAGTAGTCTTGTGAGCATCATGAGAGGGAGCGTTATCTTGCACAAAAACAATGGCCCTTCTGAAGGTAACTCTTTGCCTTTTCATCCACAGTTCAAGACGCTCCTTCATAAAAGCTATGTATGCACCAGCAGTCATTTTGACGCCATCTGGTACTCTCCATGGGCC